CAACCTTTTACACGTCACCAACTATATAGTTTTTCTTTTTACTCTTCGCGGATAAATTACTTTTGCGAGGACATAGTATATTATTTTGAGACATCAAAGGCAACGCAAAAAAACCTTTGCTCTATTTTTAGCTGAATTTCAAATGCAGCATTGTGTCCAATCTACCTTTCTTGTATATTTTGTATCGAGGGTCCCTTAATCCGACAGGCCTCGCTCGATGACTAACATAAAAAAAGTACTACATTTTTTGAATAACATGCGATTGTAATTGAATTATGCCAGGCCAATAAATTGTTCCTGGTAAAATAGTCTTAGGAGATCTTTATATATGTATATATAAAAAGAATATAAATTTATCGATAAAACTGATAAAACGGCGCTACACATTTCAGAAGGGACACTGGTTAAAATGTAGAAACAACTATTAAATTGGAAAGTAGGGAATTAAAGAAAGATACGTGTCGTACACTTTGAAAAAGATTTCCAGCCTAGAACACACATAATTTTTACAATCGGTTTTGTTGCATTTTAGTAAGAAAGTTATTGTAAAAAAAAACAGAAATCTCTACGTTGGGTCTGCGCCTAGGATAAGTGATCACAGATGTACGAAATGGATTAAAATGCGGATTTTCTAAAAAAAAAAAAAAACATATTTTTTTATTGTATCCATTTACGGTTTTACATCCATCGAAAGACTGGTCGTTTTTAAATAAAATGTCATACGGTGTATAAACAACCGTAGTTTTTCCCATCATGAAACACGGTTTAAATCGGATAGTGAACATGTGCAATGCATGTTTATATTATATTGTTGTACCGGTACATATATTGTGTTTTTTATACTCAAACCAAAAATAAGATCCTATACAAGTGCTTATGTCTGTCTCTCTCGTATAAGGGAGAAAATCCGGAAGTATTATAGCACAAGACGAGAAACGGTCGAGAGGGGGCATCCATACTTGGGACAAAAAATAGAGGATTACACCCGTTAAACGCGTCGAACGAATATTTACTTTTTTACTCTTTATTTATTTTTATTACGTTCATTCCGACCGTATTCGAGTAGAATGTGTTTCGGAGACCAATCAAAGAATTTCACAGAAAGAAAAAAATACATCAATAACGACTCGAGTTATCCATGCATGTTATTTTGTCAACAGAATCGAACTAACGCCCCACTGTTGGAATCGTACTCGGAAAACACAGTACACCGACTAAGTTTGCGATTGGAATCGGGAAAACATACAAAATAAAAAATAAATCGTTTTTGCAAACAAGAGTAAGAACTGGATAAAAACATCGTTCCATAGCCGTCTCGGTAAACAGAGGTAAAATGCAATTGAATATTGTTTGTAAAAGTTTTATTTACATATTGTTATAATATACAAAGATGTATGATTTTGCGCAATAATACAATAAGATAGTCCGGATCAAGAGGATTAGCGTACAAAAGCTCTACAAATTTGGTTCCCCCTAATTTGAATAAAAAAATCTATGAAATTGTCTAAAGGGTTCTTCAAAATACGTAAAACCAAAAGATGTGTAAGGCGTCAAAGACAATAGAAAAAAAAATCGCTTAAGGTATAAACGGCCGAATCCGCGAATATTATCCTATCATTTAAGATATGGGGTATTCCGAGTCAAACGCGGTTATCGGCCCGACCTCAAAATTGTTTGAAATTTTTTTTATAAACTTCTCTTGGTCTTATATAAGACCTTAATTGTTTAACATTTTTATCATTCATATTTACCCATAAAATAGAGGTTTTTTTTAATTAACATTTTTTTTTTCAGATTCTGAAGTTTTTATCATAAAATCAGAGACTCAAATCAAATATTTTTGTCTAATAACAGGAATGTGCCGAGATTTATTGCCATTTTATTTTGTAGTAATACATTTTTAATTTTATTCGTAAGACACATTTTTCACTTTTTATTCTTGAAATATGCAAAAAATCTAATTTTACCAAGACATGTGTTGTTTATAATTTTATTTTTTAACAAAAAAACTGGAATTTTTCATTACCACAAAAAAAATAGAAATAAATCTCGGCCCATTCCCGTTATTAGCCAAAAATATTTGATTTGAGTCTCTGATGATAAAAATTTAAGAATTTTAAAAACTGGCCGAAATCTAATTTTTGCCAAAAGTATCTTAAAAAACCTAAATTTTAGGGGTAAATATGAGCGATAAAAATGTCGTTAAACGTTGTAAAAAAAAAACATACTTTTACTGCAACGTTTAAAATTATTATTTTGAACAGCATTTACATTGATGTGTTTTTTTCTGAAAATTGTATTTAAGTGTAAAAGTGAACACATTATTTATCCAATAAAATATTGTAGTGTTTCCAAAAATTTGACATTACTTTTCAAATGAGTTCTTGTATTTTATTCAAATTTAAATATATTTTGAAAATGAAAATTTTACCATTTATGATAATTTATTGATAACAAATATTGTTGTTACGAATTATTTTAAACATCGTTCGCATTGTTTACTCGTTTTACTTTTACCCAACCGAGCACTCGATGAATAAAATATTATTTTTACTGAACTGTGCAGTACGGCACATCGGTACAATCGATTGGTTAATTGAATTACTTTTAGACATTTTGATTAATTAATTTCCAATTTTTATTGTCGTGTGACGAAACCACTTGCCTAAAGTACTAAAACATTAATTAGGAAAAGTTTCAAAGTTAATCAGTACAACATTTTGTATTTATTGTACACGGGCTATTCAACTGATAGTTTACATTGGCGTGTCAAAAGTAATATTTTTGTTTTCAACATGATATTTTCACGTTAATGACTAAATAATATGTTTATTGAATTATTAACAAATGAGTTAGTTAGGAAAAAATTAGACACTATTGGCTATGGGTAAAAAGATTTGGATGAGAACTTCAACGGTTAAAAATCGATTCAATACTTTATCGATTCTAAGTATAAGTATTATAAGTATAGTATTACTATATCAAAAGATATTGACAACGCAGAACTGATTGATAAATTTGCTGAAAGAAACAGATAAATTATATTATATTAATATTTTATTTATTGTACAGCAAATATAAACTGTTTAGTAGGAAATATTTTATGTGACAGTGGTACTTTTGAGTTTTTGACTAGTTCATTTAGTTTTGATTAATATACTTTAATGTTAGTATGTACAAGCCTTGTTTGGGGTAGAAAATAATGGTATGATACCTACTAATAGTCTTATGGAATTAACGACGTCATTTCAACTATTTTTAATTAAAATGCATAATTTATATAACCGACAAGTCTAATTTTAATTACAAATCCGGTTGTTTCTCGTTATTATTATAATTCTGAAAAAAATCTATTTTCGAATTTCAACAGCATTAGATGAGTAATCATACCCATAATATTTTATAAAATATTTTATTTAGGTATACTCTTGATCGAATACTTGCGTCATAGTTTCTTTGTGTTTTAATGTTGTGCTATAAAGTGTCAGTGCATGAGTCCAAAAAAAACAATTATTCGACAAATTCGTACAACATAACAGTCTAAACTTGGTAAAGCCGAGGTAAATATACCGATAAAAAAATATTTTCAAGAATGTATGTGTTTATAACCATAAATAATTTTACTGACACTTACAATAATATTAAATGTACAAAAGTTCAATGATACCAATATTATTACTAGTATTTAACATAACAATCGTACAACCTTCAAAGCGCTCGAGAAAACAGTATTAATATTTATTTAAGAATAAATCAACATACTTTGTATAAAAATAAAACAATATATTAACGGAGTTCATTTAAATCATATTTATCATGTATTTACGAATAAATCAACTTGAATACTTTATTGGTATGCTGTAATTTGTAATTACGTTATTATTTGAATGAAAGCTTTTTCATAATAAAAAATTATCTCGCCGACAGTCATATCCGCTGTGCTAATAATATGATTATTCGTTTCAGTTTTATTTTTCATTTTTATTAAAAACAACTATGATTTTACCTCTTGTCATTTTTATACTTGTAATAATTTTTGCAAAGTTCAAATGTAATAAATATTAAAAATAATTTCACCGGAAGCCAAACAAATACTCCTTTTATGTTTCGAGATGGCCTATTAAAACGTTAATATATTTCACAATACAACAAAAAACTGAAATAAAACTTGAATTATGTCGCGATAACTACAAACGATTTCTTGGTATTATTTTACGGCACTCCCGTATGGGCCTCGCAGTGTAATAGCGATTCAGCGTCAATAAAATTAGAATCTAGAAAAAAAAGTTCCCAGTAAAAAATATACTTTTACTTTTTTTTTGTATAAGTAATGTGTGTTTTATTATCACAACGGTTTGCCATAATAATAAAAAGTCATATACATAATATAATGTATAATATTACTTCGTGATTTTTTTTTTATCGAAGAACTGGTATCAGCATCGATTATTTACAACCTTAACGGTTTTTGAGAACTTATAAATTTGGTACATAAAAAACTGTTGTCTATTCAACGTTTAAGTCAGAATGAGCAGATTTCTAGGCAGGCAGTGCTGACCAAAAACTTAAGAGAATCTGCATCTTAGGGTTGCATAGCTAAAGTTTGCTATGCACGACAAAATCTTACTTCTATTTGTGTTGACCTATTGACGGAGCTTTAACAAACCTACTTACTGTGATGAACAATGGTGGTTGGTAAACCGAGAATTTTCTGGGAAGAAATGTGGTAGCTTATCATGCATTCATCGTTACCTGCTAATCCTTTGAGATCAACGGATCAGCTTTATTTTACTTTTTGATCTTGCCTATTTTCTACATAATGTTAATCAATAATTTTCTTTAATAGTTTTTTGAAGTCTGTAGGTACTGGGTAGACTTATAGTCTATTTTCTTCTTATTCCGCTGACGTTCTGTGATTTTAAGTGTCGGGCGTGGGTTTTTCACGGCACTCTAAGGAACACTGGATTAACTGAATACATTTGCTTATTTTACTTTTACAGCAGTGGGGCCTAATGGAGTGATATCCGGAGACAAGAAAATTCAAAAAGAATGTTTCGTCAAACACTGCGACCAACGGCGGAAATATCCCGTGCTATACAAACTCGAGTTTCAGGTAAATTTACATACTATTATCATAGAAAAATATTTAAGTCCGTAGCTTACATAGCCTATATGTATAATTTCTTAGTATAGGTCGGTTGTAACATTGTGTGTTACCTCAAAAGTAATTTATAACGTAGAATTTGAATCGGAATAGATTATCATTTTATGACTATCCAAACTCGATTATGGTGTTCAAAAAAACCCAAAATTATTTAAAATTACTATCAAATATTATAAATTATGTCAAAAATAAATAAAATATATTGTTTTAACATTTAAGTAAATATGGTTTACATAATGGTTTTAACAACATTCTTTGAAACGTTTTATAATTATTAAAAATAGCGACCGATAAAATGTACATTAAAACATGTTTTAAATTGTTTAAACGGTTTTACTAAACTAATATTAATGAGCCTTTCTAATTAGGTAAGTCTAAAATTGTTGTATACTCAATTTTTAAAATTATCTGATGAGAACGGCCATAAGCTGTATATACTATATATATATATATGACTTTTTTTTATTGTATTAAAAAAATATAACTTTTTCTCATCTTATACAATATTGATACTTCCTTAAGTCTATCGCGTTGGTTAGGTTTACATATTTTGCTTTGGATGAATAATGTTTATTTTTCTTTAATTTATACAATTCACACAGCACTGCAGTGTGAAGCATTTAATATCGCATACAAACGCATTTTGTTTTTGCTTAACATGAACAATACTTTTTAATTTAAACTCATCAAACTGACACGCGTTGTAGTCCGAATTATTTCTACTTGCTCGAGCATACAATATATGTATTATTCACAAGTAAATTAATTAAGGTACAATGCGCCGTCACAATATTAATTGTGCAAGATGAAAAGTAATGGTTCCTACTGTCCACTGCACAACTCCTATGTCGAATACGTATGACCTGTACAGTGTACACTTGTTAGAGTAATGAGAACAGCACAAATCATTCCGTAATCCGTTTAAATATAAATTTGTCTGAAAAATGGACGTGTCAACGTTATTCAATGGACTTGTCACAAACACGTTTGTGTATTCATTTTACCTAAGAGGTGATTTTGTAGTGTAATGCGACGCGACACAACAGTAAACACAATCTCAAAAAATGTAAATCATATGATATTATATTAGCTCCGATGCGTGGAGCTGAAAAGTATTAATTTGACAATGATGTGTTTATGTTACATTTTTTACTAGTCTATTGATCAGAATTTGTAATCCAAAGCTATTTAGAAGGCCAAAAATTGAATAAGTTCATCCCTTCTCCTTAATTTCTTATTGTCTAAATTAGTAATCTAAAAGAGATCATAATATTTCAACATGAACGCATTAAATATATTAATATACCATTCCTAATAGGAGTCATTTTTTAGCATTCGTCCATTTAATTTAATTGTTTTATTCCAAATTTATAAAATAATTGCGCACATTTAATCTCCAGATTATATTCACTCTATGTATATACCGAAATAATAAACTCATTTTTTTTTAACAACAAAGTACTTTGTTTTTATAACTGCGCTTTTGCAACAAATGAATTACAAAAGTTTTGTGAAATATTATGGCTACCCTTTTTTTTTGTTGTCAAGAAAAATCATTAATGACTTATAACTACTAAAACATCTGCTTTCACATAATTTACCAAAGTGCATTATTAAAATGATACTTTTTTTTTACGATAACCGTACATTTTATTTTAAATAATTTGTTCCATCTAATGGTCGTTTAAAGTATGTACATTTAACCTCATTCTAATTAAACATAAAAAATATATATATTTCTTAATAGACTTGGAAGAAAAATTATATTAATTATGCTGTTTATTCGAGTAAAACGGCCATTTCTATCTTATTTTTATTTAATAAGATGGTTTAGCGTAAATGTTGACCTTTTTTAAAAATCTTATATCACTACCTCACGCGCTGTGTTATATTATAGTTACTATAATATTCTTATAATATTCTATTCGTTAATGTGTTACATACTATAATATAGTACAAGTATGTAACACATTAACGAATAGAACTCCTTTAAAACAACAATATCTCTTAGATGGATACAATATCTCATTACAAAGGAAATATCAATTATTTGTAAAAGTAGTTTTAAAAGGCTCTATTGTAGCTTACAACTGATAATTGGAACAGTTTATACGTCTTGTCTTCCTCGCTGAGACTGTAAATACTCCATTAAAACAACTTTAGTAGTATTCTGAACATTTGTTGGTTTGCGTTACACAACCTCAATACCACTTATGACCTAAACTCTGTCTAATATCCGCACTGGCAATACAATATTGTCTGCGATGAAGTACAATGCAATTTGTTTAAAGATGTTGATTCAAGTTGTTACTATTTGAAATAAATGAAATCGTGGTACACTCTGTTATAGCAGAGAGCTGTAAATCAAGTGTATAATTTCAACTGCAAATTGTACTTTTAGTATTAGGGTAGATACGGTTGTGGGTGTCTATTCTAATAAGTCGTTGTTAGCAATCAACCGTATAGTGAAAATATTTTCCAAATATCGATTGGTTTATTTTAGGTGTTATCAGGTTATTAGTTTCCCAACACTGAAACATGAGTATAATATAAAGATTTGCTGGCCTTTTCACCGGGAAATACGTTTAAACTTTCTTAGACTATCGTCATCGAGCATCTTAACACTGCATTGTAGCGACGCACTAAAAATAAATTGCCCATTAAGTCTCATATGAATAGAAATACCTGTTGTCACGTGGTGAGAGCTCAATAATTTCCAGTAATACGACAACAGAGACAGTTTTTATAACCCATTTATACAAAAGAAACGCCTAATAAAAAATAAGATTATTGTCTAAGACAGAGTCGGCCTGGCTAATGGTACAGACGTGCGTTGGCCCTGAACGTGTGGTCTCCTTTTTATATTGTTCAACTTTTCTTTCTACGGGTGGTCATAAATAGTCAAGTCCAATTTTTTAAAAATGGATTCAGATAAAAAAGAAATGCGCCAAGTCTAAACTCGTTGAAAACACTGTTTTGATGAAATCTGGTAAACTGGCTATGACCGCCCTACTAAGGTTTTCGACATGATCTTATTAATTTTTATCATATTATAACCAAAGAACGGAATTATTTCAAATGCACACTATCTCTTGTAGTTAAAATGACGTATTTAATTATAAATATATGTTTTCAAAGAAACAATATAACTTATAATTTATGTCTTTTTAGCTAAATTGCATAGTAAAGCCTTTATGAACCAGACCGACGTAGATTGTCTTAAATCGGCGTCACCGACATAATTACAACTCACAACGCTTTAGTGTCGTCTTAAACTGATTATGGTATATTATATTGGTAAATGGATTATATTTCCTTTACTTAAAATATTAAAATGGCGACTGAAAAGAATAATTGTTATCTCATAATACAAAAATATTCTACGAAAAATAACGACTGGTCGATCACCCATTTTGTATAATTATTTCTCAAGTCGAGAACTTTTTTATGTTTATACCATAAAGTAGAGGTGGAATATTATATTAATTTTATCTACGTGCACTACTTACCCGCACTACACCTCATACTCTTAATTTAGAACGCTTGAGAAACTTGAGAAATAATTATTTTGTGTATTTTATGTAACGCTGAATATGTTCATAATGATTTCAGAGAAAGAAGACACAAAATTGAAAGTTATAATCAATAAATGATTACAGTTTATTTCAAATATAATATAATATAGAATAATATAGAGGCATGTTATGTTAACGCGAACAAGTCATAAAAATTTAATGTTACAGTGATTTTTTCAACGAAATAACTATGTAAGAAAAAAGTTTCTAATAAAATTATTTTTATATTTGGTGATGAAAAAATATATTTAATATTATGTAAAAAAAGAGCATTATATTGAAGGATAGTTTTGAAAAGTAATTGTTAAAAGTCAATTAGATGTTTAATTAACCTACTATAATAAACATATTTTAATTACCTATTAAAAGCAAAATGATGTAATGAAAATAATGACCGGCCGATAACCAGTTTTGAATAAATACTCTTTGAATTATTAGCGTGCAAAGTTTAGGCGATGAAGCAATTGCGGTTGAGTGGTGCATGGAGATATAACGATCCACCACCACCACCCCAGCCTATACGTTTAAATGCTAATAGCTTAAGAAGTACTTAACATTACATCATTCTGCTTTTGATAGGTGAACCTAATACGTAGGTGGCTTTGAACATTTATCCCTTAATATTAACCTCTTAAATACTAATATTGTTTGAATACTAAATATAATTTTTGATCATCAAATAGAATAAGGATTATATTTGAAACTTTTTTAGCTAAAACAGTTATTTTATAGAAATAATGACTGGAACATAACATTTTAATAACCCTGCATATTACATTGATAGCTTAAGAACATAATATTTCTATACGATTTTCTTTTCATTGGTAATGCCTATTTTCACATCATTTCAACGAAACTCTACTCGCCACAACTTCTTTCATTCCTCCATTTTTAAGTTGATTCTCTGAAATGTTTGGCGCTTTATCGATAGTGAAAACGGGCAGTTTGAAAACAAAATGTAAACCGTTTCTCTACCCCATAATGCTACTACTAAAACCACAAAAACTTTGATCAGTTTTCACTCTCTATTCTCAAACTTTAAATGTTATCTATAAAGAACTCATTACATATGTTCCCTTCTAAGACAATTTACTACTAGATGGTAGGTTAAGTTAGGTAAGGCAATGAAATTTTATTTTTTTAGTAAAATATTCTTTTGTCATGTGGACAATTTTCGGATGTATCCATGTCTTTAGTTTTATGCTGAAATTTCTGACTAATCACACAGTCCGTCTTCAAAGCGACAGTCACCGTTACACTGTCGCAGCTATACTGCAGCTAATAACTGTAGCATCGCTTGTTCTCTGCCGGCGGGTTAGGCATTATTTAGATAATTTTTTATCTAAATAATTAATCACATCGTTTTTTTATTCA